AGAGACCTTTTCAGTGCTGACGTGTGAGGACAGTCACTGCTTTTCCGCAACATGCTTGTGACTCACATTCAGTCACTTCAGTGACGCCAGCAGGGAGCCCGGTGACATGCGTGAGTGGCAGACTGAGACCAGAGAAGGCGGGTGCAGTCTCCCCACCCCGGGCTCCATGACAGGACTTCACAGGCGACACCCATGCTGCAGCCTCTGTCCATGGTGAGAAATGCCGGACTGTGTGGAGGGCGAAAACTCTGTGCTGATGTTGTGTTTACATAAGGACAGACGAACCGACAAATGGAGCAGAATGAACAGTCCGGGAAACCATATACCTCCACAGACATAAGGGGGGAGGGTGATCCTTCTGATAAATGGAGCTGATTGAAGGAAAATGCCTTAAGCCCCTACCTCACACTGGAGAAAACTCCGTGCCTGAAGGGGCACAGATCTCACCATGCAAAGTAGAATGACAAAGCTTCCAGAAGGAAACAGAGCAACTCCATGAACTTGGAGCCTGTAAAGACCTCTTAACCAGGATGCAAACTGCCCATCATACTGGAAGAAAATGATGCCTTTCTGGATTAAAACAAAGACCTTTCCTTGATCGGAAAGACAGCTTGAAGGGAGTGAAGAATGGATCCCCAAGGAATGGAAAATCACATTTGTAATGTAGATCTACAAATAACTCATTTCCAGCAGAGGTAGGGGATATCCTCAAATCAATAAGAAACAGACAAGCAGCCTCAGAGAACCCTGGCCAAAAAATGAATAAATAAATAAAATGAACCTGCAAGTCAGAGAGGAGGATATGCAAATAGCTGATAAACATACAGAAAGGAAGCGAGTCCCATCAGTCATCAGGAAAATGCATGTTAAATAGGTCGGGAGAGACCACCGCACCCGGGACTCCCATGTACGCCGCTCAGGGTGGGGTCTCCTGGGCACTTGTCCCGAATTTTCCTGTGGACACCGACGGCGTGGCATGCCGTGTTCCGTGCACACCACCGAACTCTTACCGCCGTACACGTAGAACACAACATCCCCATGAGATCTAATTTTTCCATTTATTTCTGATTATTTGGAGAGGCAGGTTTTTACATGATAGCTTCAAAACCAACCGTAGTACATTAACCAAGTTTTACACAAGCCACTTGAAAAAGGATCTAAAAATGTGCTTAGTTACTGGTGTCTATATAACGTCGGTCAAGCACCAGGAGTGTGCTGAGCCATTCAGGGCGGACACAGGAAAGACAGGTCCCTCCCTGCCCTCCGGTGCCTGCTCCTCAGGGTCCCACGTGTAAACACGCCCTCACGCCTCACGCCCTTCTGTCCATAAGGCATAAATAAGGAAGGGGGTTGCATTTCTCATTGTTTATAAGTGTACCCTTCTCTCCAACGGCACCAGCAATCACTCATCTCTTGGCCTTTAAATACAAGGTTCCCGTAGGGCAGGCAATACGCAGTCTGTACTGGTTTGGTGTTCGCATGATGGGCGGCGGTAGTGCCACTCAGAATCATTTACTGTTGGCAGAGCTTTTTGTTGCTGTTGTTAATAAATGGAGGTGCCGTTGCTCTGAGGCTGATGAACCGTAAACAGTGCATCATGGCCTCGACCCCAGTGCAGGTATCAACGTCCTGCATGTGAGTCAGCACATCTGGGAAACTAGCCTCGCAGTTATCAGTCACAGAGCTGTGGGCCCTAAAATCCCAGTCGGTGATGATCAGCTAGTGATGGGTGACGTCTGTGATTTGCTTAACTGTGTTTGCCGTTTAAAGATGCGGGTACTGGTGTGAAATATTTAACAACTGTGAGCTGGGAAGGTTTTTTTTTTTTTTTTTTTTTGCTCTTCTGTGAGGCTGGGCTCAAAGCAAATTAAGACCGGAAGAGAGGGTGCAGTGACTCTGAATTATGTCATTAGCTGAGGGCATCTGATTTCAAAGTCATCCCTTTAAACAATGACATCTGATTGTTCACTTTCTGAAATGCCAGGGGAATGAGGTGAATCTGGATAGTGTCCCGATTTTAGGCTCAGGCACGACAAATGAGGCTTTACGTGAAAATGCCTGTGCGTGTGGTGAAAATCGACACTCCCCGCCCCCAGTGCAGGGGACAGGCCAGTTCCCATGTCACCGCAGGGGGCTCCCAGAAGCTGGATGTGAGAGGGGAATCTGAGAGGGAAGGGCAGATGTTCCCCCACAGACAGATTCTGGTCTGGACCGGTTCTGCAAACAGGGTGCTACAGGGGCCAGAGTGGGCCTGGGGTCCAGGGAGAGAAGGCTGTAGTGAGCTCGGGCATCCACGGAGCGACAGACACTAACTACAGAGCCACAGAACGTCACCTTTCCCGGGTCCCGGGACCCCAAGCACTCAGGAGCTTCTAGTCACAACAAAGGCCCAAATGTGACACCAGAACCAGAACTGTTGGGCCGAGCAGACCCCTTCCCAGAGGAGACCGCCTGGCCCTGGGTCCCTCCCTACCTGGACGCTTCCATCTGTGCCCATGATGTTGAGTTCACTTAAAAGTCGTGCGGGACTTAGAGCAAAGCTACATTTCTCTGACCGCCTCCCCAGATGTGAAAAGGGGGGAAGGAAATGCCACAGGGTCCCCTCGCTTCCCTGCGTGGGGTGGGCTCCCAGGCAGGCCCCGCCCCTCGGTAACTAGACAGGGCCCCTTAGGAACAGAGTCACCTGAGGGCAGTGGCAATTGTGGTTTGGGACCGTCCCCCGGGACCCTACCTGGCAAAGGAGGGGCCCGACTGGCATTTGACAAGACCGTTCTTATCCTGGGTGAGCGCTCCCCTGCTTCCCTGGGAATCACAGAGCAAGACGCTGGGACCGGCCTGCCTTCCATGCTCCCAGACGCGTCCCAGAGCCACGCTGCCTGGGAGGACCAGCCCCCACGGGCAGTCACCTAGTACCCACTTTGGGGCAAGTCAAACCACCTTATTTAATGTGCCCAACCCCAAACCAAGCACCAAAGGACTAAAATTCTGACCATAAGCAGTAATATATATATATACATATACACACACGTCATCCTCAGTGATAAATGTGTTCTGTGCTAAGGCTTGTGTTTCAATTGCCCAGTCGAACATCCAGAAACAAACATGAGACTGAAACATATAACGTGAAGACCTCTGAACATAAAGGTTCCCGACGGGGAAAGCATCCATCCCCTTGTTGGTTAGGAGAAGGAGATGATGCCCTGACTACCTCTGATGGGGCACAGCAGACTCAGACGCAGCAAGCGAAGCATTGTCTGGGACGTTTGGGGGCAGATGCTGGGCTCCTACTGCTTTAAAAGCTGAGATGTTTTCCAAAGACTCCTTTCAGGGATGCCTTACACCATCCAGAGTGGGTGTTCTCACTACCAACGTGTGTGTCTACCCCTCCTCATCCTCAGGGGAGTTGGGTAGCCGGTTTCTGTCCATCATTTTCTTTCCCCTGTAACACGATGTTCGACTCGGTGAAAGGGACTCCTGTCCCATTATGTCGAAGCACCGGTCAGTAGGTGGGAGTGGAGAGGGAATCCCCATGAAGTTACAGTGGCCTTTCCCCTTGCACACTGAAGACACCATGCTCTCATGTTAGCTAACAGAGAAGACAGGGAACTGAAAGTAGGTATTTAGATAGACACATGGAGAGATACATAAACGGGTAAATAGGTTGTAGGATTTGCACTGCCGACCAGAGTTTGGAACTGGAGGGGGTGCTGGGGTGCTGGAGAACGGCTCGGCGCCTCTCCCACACTGTGGACGAGCTTTCCAGTGTCTGTGAAGCCGTGGAGGTGGCCGCTCAGCGGTGCTCAAAAACCGTGGGTTACAGTTAGAAAGTCAAGTGCAGCCGTTCTCTCTCCTCTTCAAGGCACAAGGGCAAGTTCCAGACTCTGAGACTCAGAGGTGAGAAGCAGAGCGTCTGATCCCACTGGGAGATAGAAGACCAAGGAGCGGAGCTACACACCGAAGCAAGATCGGGGGGCCCTTAAGCGTGGCTGTTACTTGCTCTGTTAGGCCCCCGCTGTTTTGCACGCGGCCCTCCCACCTCGTGGGGCGGGGGCAGGAAGCGCTCCTGGCCCCAACTCCTTGGCTCGTTGGGCAGAGAAAGGCGCACTTCGTGCCACGAGTGGGCCGTTCAGCTCCTTCCTCCTGTGGGCACGAGGAAGAGGTCCGGGAGGGCTCTGTGAAGATCTGCGGTGATGAGCGTCGTGGTGTCAGAAGGGCGAAACCGAGACGGCAGTAGCCCTTGGTGACAGTCAGCAGAGGAGGAGCGTCCTTTGTGGGTGTGCGCCCAGGGCCTCACCTGCAGCCCTAACAGCGTCAGGAAGACGGAACTTCTCCCCTCATCTTGCTCTTTCCCTCGGTTTCCCTCCAAAAGGCATGTTTGAAATATCTTCTTGGTAATGCATTCCCCACCAGGAAACTTAACCAACGAAATGGAAGAAATCCAACTAAACTTCCTGTTCTTTTTCTTTTTTCTTTTCTTTTGTTTTGTTTTTTTTTTTGCTTGTAATTCAATTTGTTTCCCTGCTACTTTATTACATTCTTTTGGTAGGAAAAGCTATTGCACTTCTAAAAATGCATCCAAGCCCTGGCTGGTGTGGCTCAGTGGACTGAGGGCCAGCCTGCGAACCAAAGGGTCAGCAGTTCGATTCCCAGTCAGGGCATATGCCTGGGTTGCAGACCAGGTCCCCAGAAGGGGGCGTGCAAGAGGCAACCACACATTGCCTCCCTCTCTTTCTCCCTCCCTTACCCTCTCTCCAAAAATAAATAAAATCTTTTAAAAAAATTTTAAAAACAATTAAAAATGCATCCGAGTATCATTCAGTCACAGCCCCCAGGCAGGCTGATCTCCGTCTGCAGTGCATGCTTTCCGGAGGCCGTCACCCACAAAGCCTCCAGGATTTCATCTCCATTTGAACAGAGTATTGCTGCACTGCCGCACGATTTTAAACTGTGGAGGAAGACTTCGGTGGCCCTGAGCCGCGTGTGACGTGGTGCCCTCGGGCTCACGATTTCATGGTGCAGATGGGCACGACGATGACCAGGATGACCGTACAGGCGGCAGCGGCAATCAGCGCCGCGATCTTGCAGACCCTGGCTCTCCGGAACTCAGCTTCTTTGCGTTTGAGTAACGAGTCGTAGCCTGGCGTGTAAATATCCTCCATCCAGTACTCTAAGTTGTTTGGATTTAAAGATTCTTGTGTCTGAAAGTGAAGAGGAGATGTTAGAAAGGGGGTGAGTACTTGAACCCGGGTCAAAGGCACCCTGACAGCCGTCCCTCCTGAAGCACCTGAGGATGCTCTGCAGCTGGCAGAGATGTCTGTACATCCAGCATGGCCCACGTCCCCTGCCTGCGGCGGGTCCCATGCAGCCCAGGTTGCACCTGCCCCTTCTCTAAGACAAACGTCATGTTTTGACCCAGCAGACCTGTGGGTCTCCTGTGTATGACCAAGCAGAACGGCCAAGAAACACAAGCCTGAAGTTCAAGGGCACACAACCAGGATGGGCTGGCCCAGTGCAGGGGAAGCAGGAGGTCACTGAGAAATACACTCCGCTCAGTCCCTGAGAATGGAGCTCCTGTCAGTCCCCAGGTCCCCAGAGAAGCATCAGCTAAAAAAAGCAAATGCACCTCGCAGATAAGCAATTCAAACCAAACACAAAATATTCCCATTTCAGACACCTGTTGAGTGGCTCAGGCCACGGCCCCAAGCCACGGTCTGCAGATGTGTGTGGCAGGGGGTCTCCACGCCGGGCGCCGTGTCCCCAGAGGGAGAGCTGTCTGCAGGAGAAATACCGTGTGTGACCTGCCTGGCCTGTGAACCCCGTTCCCCACGGACGGTGCTCTTCTGTTTCAACAAAGAACGGCCGCATTCTGGTTTACGGCAAGCACTGAATAACGCGTCACAGAAAAGCGACAGCACCTTGCCGCTCCAAGTGAGGGCACTTAAATCCTGGAAATGGTCACAGATATCCATAGTCTTGGATTGTTCACTGCTCCCGAACATCAACATGTAAATAGTCCACCTGTCTCTCTCTCTCTCACACATGTATACACGCACGCAAAGGAAACCGTCCGCAGAGTTCAGCTCTGTCTCATGGTGTCACTAGTGGGGTAATGATGATTCTAACCCATGCTGGTCACTCTTTGTCCGACTGTGCTTGCTCCCGCCTTGCTCTGTGCCCCAGGAGACTGGCCCCCAAGGACGCGTTTGGGGCTCCCAGGTGCCTGTAGCTGGGCGTCCACTGTCCTCTCACCCCACGTGTCACACGGAACGGTCTGGCCCAAGGCTTGCGAGCAGGTGTGAGGACCTGTGCTGCGTACGGAGTCTTATCAACATATCGTTAGCAAATGCAGCCCAAGTCAGCCAGCTTCCCCTGGCTACGTGTTCACAGATAACAAAACAACAGCCCCCTGGTGAAACTCTCAGCTCCCAGGAAGTTCAGAATTCTAGGGTGGGGCCCGGGAGCTCCCCAGCCCCCCCCCAGGGACGTCCGGAAGCTCACCTGCAGATCCAGAGCTGCAAGCTTGCCCTTGTCGCCCGCGTTCCGGGGGAACTCCTCCAGGGTCCAGGAAGGCTGGCCCCGCTTCACCTCCGCCAGCTCCGTCAGCCGCATGTCCGTGTACAGGGGGTTGCTCTTCAGGTGGGCCTTGAGGGAGGCCGGGTAGGGGTGCGGGCTGAACACCTGCTCCACCAGGAAGCCATCCTTGGGCTGCTTGGCCAGGCGGTGTTGGGGGGCTGCGTCGTGCTGCCTGTCGGCCTGTGGGGGGGACACAGAGGCTGTGGGCTCGCACGCCCTGCCGCCAGCTCCACACCTCCAGGCCCCTGACGTCCCGGAAGCGGCAGGCAGTCACCCACCAGCAGATGTACACAGTCCTGCACTAAGTCCCCCTCTCTGTGCCAGGAACAGAAGGCCCTACCGGGTCCTCGCCCACCACTGCTCTTACCAGCCTGCCTCGTATGTAGGAGGAGATGGGGCCCAGGACCACCCCCTGCAGTCGAGAGGTGGGGTTGCAGTTTCAACCTCGGCATCTGGCTTCCGAGACTCTTCGCTATCCCCTTTCTTTTACCAATGGGGACCTGGTCCTGAGGAATAAAAGATACAGGCCTTTCTCCCCAGGAGCTGGTGAACCCACGCTGCCTCTCTGGAAGGAAGAAGCCACGCCAGAAAGTAGGCTGAGAGCCTCTAGTGATTTTCAGCGACCCCTGCAGGGCCTTGAAGGTTGGGAATGCTCAGGAGGACAGTGTGGGCGTAGGAAGGGGCCAGACACTGTGGGCCAACACTCAGGTTCTCAGTCCGTGAGCTGCGGGCCAGGGCGCTCTCACAGCCAGGGGCTTCTGACACCTTCTAACGCTGGGCCTTCGGATCTCTACAGAATGTCGCTTCCTCCAGGAAGCACTCCTTGACCACTGAGACTGGGGTCAGTGCCCACCTATGCAGCTCCACAGGATGTGGACAGACCCAGCGGCCAACACTGTCCTGTTGGTCTGTGTCCTCCGCTGGCCTGTGAGCTCCTGGAAGGCAGGGCGTTGTCCTGTCTGCCTTTTCACCCCGTAGTCCAGCAAAACCGCTCCCCCCGGAGCAGAAGTGTGTGAGCAGGTGTGTCCCACCCTGGGACGGGGACCGACATGGGCCCTCCCACCGGCGCCCTGGGACCCTGCTCCAAATGCAGACGCCAGCCAGCACTTCCAAAGCCCTGAGATGGCTCCCGCGGAGGCAGAGTCAGCCCGGTGGCCGCTGCCCAACCCAACAGGAGAATGATGTGGCTTCTCACGTTCTCACTCCTCAAAGCCAAGTATCCTCTAAGAGGCTTCACTGATGTTATTGGTTCTGCTCGTTTCTACCACCCAACACTCAGAGCCACCGCGGCTGCCAGGATGCACTGAACTGGGGGCAGGGTGGACTGCGTGTCCCCGGCAATGCTCAGTGCTGAGAGCGGGTCATCTCAGTTCGCCCTCTCAATAACCCCCCTTCTGCGGCTGCAAAACGCAGGCTAGAGAGGGGACAAGAGTGAGCCAGAGTCCCACAGACAGCAAGCGGCACGGGCAGGGTTTTCGCCTGCCTGGTGTCTGAGGCGGGGAGCCTGACCGCTATGCACACCTGCCTCGCTGCTCCTGTCAGGAGACGCCCGCGTGCTAACTCGGCAGTCATTGTGTGTGCGGGACAGGTTTTCCTATGAAAGTTTAAAGTGCTCCATCAGAACAAAGAGGGCAGAGGGCGAGCGTTCAGAGACCAGCAATCAACCCCTCAAAGGTTTCAGGGGCTGCAGTATAAAGGAGGTTAGTGGGGTGCACAGGACCCTGGTCAGCACGGAGAAGGGGACAAGACGTTCTTGACAGCGGGCCACAGGGGAGAAAGGCTGGGTGGGGGAATCAGGGCCTGGTCACCAGGGGTGCCTGGCTGGTTCTGCCTGAGTGAGCAGTGTGTTTCCGAGAAAGGCAGAGCAGAGCCCAGGCTTGGGACCCAGGGGCTTCCTGTGAGGGCGGATGGACGTGCCCTGGGCTCCTGGAGTTGGACACTTTTCACTGAGGTGATGAGGAGCCAGGGAAGGGCCATAACCTGGGGCACCACCCCGCCCCCTCCAAGGTGGGGCTTGAGGAACACGAATGTAGTGGTGGTCTGAGGCGGAAGGGAAGGGAAAGGGAGGGGAGGGGTGGGGAGGGACCGGGTATCCATGTGCCCAGGTCTCAGGCGGGGTGTGGTGAGAGCTGGGATGGTGAGGAGGATGAATGTAAATGCAGAAAGCACCAGGAAGACAGACCCACCGGGCCCACAGCTGAGTGCAGGGAGAGTGAGGCAGCCAGGGAGGTCACAGGCCTCCCCACAGCATGCGGAGCTGACAGTGTGGTGGCCCCAGAATGGGGGCAGGGCAGGGACCGCTGGCTTTGAAGGGACAGGAGAGTCCAGTTAGGACCTGGTGACACGTGCGTTGTCACGGGGGGAAGGAGCCCTGAGCATTGTAAGACGTGCGACTGAAGTTCAGGTGGTGGTGGTGGTGGGGGGGGCTGGTCACCACCCTGGGGAGCGTCAGCCCAGGTGGCAAGAACCGCCTACTGGGAGGGGGAAATGGGTCACAGAAGGTGACAAAGATGACTCAGGCTGAAAATGAGCAATTTGGGGGTAGGCACTTCAACGGACCTTTCTTAAACTTCTGGCTATTTCTGTCGGTTTCACGAGGCTGTGACGCTGTGCGAGGCAGAGGCACGGCTCACTCAGGGCAGCCTGGCCTTTCTGTACACGTGCCCAGCCGTCCGAATGCCCGAAGTGGCCGCTTTTCAACGCTAACGATGCCACAGGGCACCCAAAACCTGGCCGGATGCTAGCAGCTCAGGACCACAGGGACCAGAGGGGCAGTGGCCGGGGTACCCTCTGCTTTCTCTCCACACCGCACCCTGTGCCGTGGCCAGCACGGGCAGCGAAGGTTCCTTCGGGATCAGAATATAGATCACTCTTTACATTCACTCTTTCCTCAAACTCTGGACCCTGAAAACGCCCCGAGAGCCCAGTTTCCCAAACCCCTCCTGGTTGGCGCCCTTGGAACCAGCCTCCTCCCGTGGTTTTGCGTGTCTGCAGCCCATGCCACCTTCCCTCTGACGACCGGGGCCCCTCTGTCCTCAGGACACTCCTGGGCTGTCCACAGGCCTTTGAAACCAGGGGAGGGACTGAGAGGGTCCACCAAACCCAGGCGGGATGCACAGGAGCAGCCACAAGTGAGCACGTGTGTGAGAGCGTGTGCGCGTGTGAGTGTGTGTATTTATGCCCATAGGCGTGTGCACCCTCCCTCAGGAACTGACAGGCCACAGCAGCTACACAGATGCAAAACGCTCTGCGCTCAGGGAAAGGGCAGAGCGGGCAGTGTGCAGGAAGAAATGACACAGGAAGGAGACCGACGCTGTGGGCAGCGCTGTCCCGGGGAAGTGGGGGGGGGGGGTGTGGAACTTGGGACGATTTCCTGTTTATCTTGTTTTCTAACCCAATCTGCTGTTCCAATCTGCAGGTGCTGACGTTCCCCCCCCACCCCGGGGCACCACACCTGCACTGACCTCTTAGTACGTCACTTCCCCCCTGTTCTTTGCCCGAACCCTGCTGTTTCGAAAAGGACAACAAGCTGTCTCTGGTGACGTGGGCCGGTCTGCCACTTCCCCTGTCCTGTGAAGACCTGGTCTCCCACCCGGCAGCAGCCTCCCAGCTGACTCGAGGACCCAAGGACCCACCTGCCTGTGCCGTGCGCCCCCCCCCCACCGCTCCGACGCGCCCAAACCTGGAAGTGGAAGGGCGGCTGGCACCCAAAGGGCAACACCCAAGACTGGGGAACGCACTGGGCCGTGCCCGGTTACGTGAGCTGACTTTGAAATTACCTCCTTCGATTTTCGATGCCAGTCCTTGCCCTCTCCAGGGCCTCTGTCCTTGACCTCCTCCTCGCCGAGGCCCCCGCGGCTGGCATAGGTGATGGTGCGCCAGTCCCTGGGCGAGTTGGAGATGCTGGCGATTTTGGACTCGGTGGCACTGTTCTCCTCCGTCAGCGACCTGGAGGACGGCCTGGTGAAGAGGCTTTTCTTCAGGGCCTTGACTCGCAGGCTCTCGCTGTTGCTTCCGCTGGCGTCGGAGCAGCACCAGTCGGCGCCGTTCTCCAGTTTGGGCCCGTGGGAGCCGCTGTGCGCACGGAACATCCGGGGAGAGGCGCTCTCGTCGGAGGGACCCTCGCTGGTCAGGGAGTTTAGGTCGATCTGCACGCTCACCTTCTCCGGCTGCTGCATTTTCTGATCCAACTTATTCAGCTTGCCCAAGACGTGGGAGATTTCCTCGCGGACACCTGACAGCGATTCCAGCTTCCGTTCAATTTCGCCGATCCGGAGCACCAGTTTGCACACGCTGGTCTTCAGCTCCTCTTCCGAGTGGTGGCTATTGTCGGGCCGGTTGCCCTTTTCTCCTTTGCTGCCGGGAAGCCCGTTGGCCCCTTTGGGGATGCTGTGCTCTGGCGAACTGTCACAGTCCGACTTGTGAAGCTGAGACAAGGACCCGGTGCTGTTGTAGCAGGATGACTGTATCACTCCCGTCGAGCCACTGATGCTCATGTCATCGAGGAATCGGAAAATGTCACTGATGTCGTCACTGACGATCTCGGAGTCGTTGTCCGACTGCGTCCTGGCATGCCTGTCCCCGTACCTGCAGTGCCCCGAGGCACCCAGGTCTTTGCATTTCTTGGGCTCTGGCAGGTGCTGATCGGTCTGGGTGCCCACGCTGCTGGTGTCCGAGCTGAGCTGCCCACTGGTGCAGCTGATACTCTTGTCCTTGAACTTTTTCGCTGGTTCATGCTTCTCCAAGTCAAGGGCGGACGGGATCTCCTTAGATTTCAGCCCGCTGGGTTTCGCTGCGTAGCCGATGGGGAGCATCGGCTGTTGCTCCTTTGGCGTGAGGTAAGCCGGCCGCTGGTCTGGGGCCGGGAAGCTGGGCGACTGGCCGCCGGCATTTGGATAGCGCAGCTTCTCCTCGGAAGGGTTTCGATGGAAAAAGGACCGTTCAAAGTCAGGGACCTCTTCCGTGTTCAGGCTCCAGCTTTTGGCTGGCCAGGGGGTCTGCTTGCTGGGCCTTCCCACGCAGCGCCTAGCTTCCGGGGTCCCCATCACGGGGGTGGGTCCAAAATATGTGGAGGCCTGAAGGTCATCTAAGCTTTCGTGCTTCGCCCGCCTTTTGTCGGGGACGGGAGAATACACAGGGTTCAGGTACTGGCTGTTGTAGGGCATTTCAAAGCTGTGGTTCAAGAAGGGTGTCTTGTGGGGCTCCTTCCGGCTCGGGGGCTCCCCGTGCTCCCCCTCTGCCTTGTTAGCGGGGCCAACCAAACCGGGAGACACGGTCATCAGGTTGTGAAAATCCTCTTTGAAGATGTTCCTTTTCTGGACGCAGGACGGGACCACGAAGGGCTCGTCGTGGGCGAGGAAGGCCTCCTTGATGCTCTGGGTGATGGGCAGCGAGTCCTGGTCCGAGATGGGCTCATTCTCGATGTTCATAGGGAAGTAGGTCCTCTGCATCTCGCAGGGCTGAGGGCTGGCAACCGAGTACGGGGCCAGGGCCTGCAGCCTGTCCAGCGAGGCGGCGCGGGCTTTGGCCTCTTTGCTGACGCCCAGCAAGAAGTTGGGCTCGGAGGCAGGCACAAACTGCGGACAGTCCTTGCAGTCCACCTTCCGGCACTTGGACGGCTGCCTGGCGGGGTAGCCCTGGCTGAAAGGCCCGCCGTCCAGCTCGCAGTTCAGGGGCTCGCACTCGGCCGCGTGGCAGATCTCCGCGTCCGGCCCGCAGGACTCGAAGGACGCCTCCTTCTTGCGCGCCTTCTGCCGGCCCGTAGGCAGCTTCTCCTTGGCGGCACCCCCGTTCATCTGGATGAGGTTGAAAATCGTCACGATGTCCGCGGCCACCATGATTTTCTTTGACTGCTGGTTGTTCACGGTGCATTTCATCTTGTCTTTGAATAAAGTGGCTGGAAAACTGGGGTCGAGGCAGGCCGTGTAGAAGAGCAGGCTCCTCAGTCTGGCCAGCTGCGGCAGGTCGAAGCGGGCGCACAGGGACTTGCACAGGTCCTGGTAGGACACGGAGCTTTGCTTGCTGTCCAGCTCCTCCAGGATCTTCACCAGGAAGAGGGAGGTTTCCTGACTGGCCTCCATGACTTAGAGTTCGCACGGGCTCGCCGACTCCGAGTCAGTTCTGCAGTGAGGGCATCAAAAAAGAGGGAGGGGGAGAGGGTTAGAAACACCGGCGGGAGGTCCTGGATGCTGTGGCTCAGTGGACTGAGTGCCGGTCTGAGTGCGAACCAAAGCGTTGCTGGTTCGATTCCCAGTCAGGGGACATGCCTGGTTGCAGGCCATGTCCCCAGGAGGAGGTGCACAAGAGGCAACAGCACATTGATGTTTCACTCCCCCTCCCTTCCCCCTCTCTAAAAATAAATAAATAAAGTCTTAAAAAGAAAAGAAAAGAAACACTGGTGGGGTTTTAAATCAAGCTTGCTGTGTACCACATAAAGAAATACAAGGACAAAGTTTTCAATGACTAACTATGTATTAAGAGCTTTAGAGTACTTGTAACTCCCTTCCTGGGAATCCACCTTATAGATGTGGTCAGTGACAATAATTTCTGCATGAAGATGTTCACTGCAATGGTCTTTACAAGAGAAAAAATTAAAACAGCCTAAACGTCCCACAAATAAGGGAATGCAAAGATGAAGCTCGTGGCGACATATGTGACTTCTTACGAACGTTAAAATTCCTTGAATGGATGTCCTTGCCAGGGAATGCCATTTGTCCATAAAAGGGAACAAACCGCTACAACAGGCAGCGACCTGGGTCTCCGGTGGATTGTGCTGGCATGAAAGAGGCCCGGGCCACAGGGCCACGTGCTGTACAATTCCGAGGCAGTGACGGTGTGGGAGACACGTGTCCCCTGGCGAGGGGCTGGCTGCGGAGGGATGCAGAGGGACTTTCTGGGAAGATGAAGCTGTGATGCTGGGGTAGTTCCGTGACCGCACACATTTCTTAAAACTCAGGAAACTGCATGCCACATGTGTGAATTGTACTGTGTGTAAATGAGACCTCAATTCAAGAATTACACAGGGAGGACTCCTTATGAGAATGCCTGGCTACACTATGGCATGGGAAAAAATATGAAAATAAATCTGTATACATAGGACGATGTTAATAATATATTCCTGGAAATGGAAACGAAAGGAAATAATGTTTGCCAAAATGTGAACACTGGTTACATTTGGATTTTAAATATGGATTTTTTTTTCTGAATTAGGAACCTGGTCTCCAATATTGTATTATGCAAATTTCCAAACACCCAGCAAAAGGGGACAAATTTTGTCTTAAGCACTCAGGTGGCCACCGTCTGGGATGCAGCACGCACATTTTTTCCCGTTTGCTTTATCGCACATCTACCGCTTTTTTGTCCAGTCCTCTTTTCTGCTTTAATGCATGTCAGTGTAAATTGCAGGCATGTGTACACTTCCCCTAAATATTTCATCGTGGAGACCGCGGACCCAACTTCAGTAATTGTTTATACAGTTTTCCTCTTTACATAAGGTTTATACACAGTGACGTGCAGAAATCTTAAGTAGCCATAGCTGAAATTTCGACCAATGTGCCGTAACCAAAACCGTACAATGGTCTAGGATATTTCAGTTGCCCCAGAAATTTCCCTCATGCCTCTTCTCCTTCAAACACCATTCTTATTTTCTACAGGTAACTTTTATTTCTTCTTTATCATTTCCCATTTATTTTCTGGAAATTCCTGCCACGAATACCAGTTACTTCGTAATCAGCAAACGATAATTCATCTTGCTTCGAAATGGGGAGACACAGCTGCGTTCATGAATCTTGGATGGGAAACTTAAAAATGTCAAACCCAACGTTTAACAGAACTTCACGAGAGAAAGCGAAGCTCCTCACCGACTGACAGGGACCCAGGTTCTGAGAGTTACGAGGAAGCATCACATGACACAGGGGTTTCCCTTCCTTGGTTGCACCCTTAGAACAGGCGTCTTGGACAGTGGACTCTGTCCTCACGCGTCCTGTCCATTTTCTACGGGAGCAGTGGCTTTCCCTCGGGTTAAGTTCCAGCTGCTCTGGGCCGCTGTGCCCACAAGCATGCGCCCTCCCAGGAACGGCTGCAGCGACGTTTCGGAGACCAAGGTTTGCGTTTGCTTGTGCAGAAAAGACAGCGAAACCCTGAGAGGCTCTGTGCCAGCCCAGAACAAGTCACCGGGGCCCACTGCACCTGCACGGCCCTCCGGGCTCTGCCTCAGCCCCGCTCCCACCGGATGAGAGCGTTCTGGGGCCAGGCGGTTCTGGTGTGTCAGAGGTGGGGACAGCCTGGCACACCTGCCGCACAGGTAAATACATGGGTGCAGGCATCAGAGCGGAGGACGAATGAAAGCAGCTTCGGCCCATGCATCTCGCACGTCAGGGTTTTGGTGGCACCAAGCGTTTTCCCGGTGGTCTTTTTGGGTGCTCAGCTGTACAGCCTCCTGCGCATGCGCTGTTGCCCTCTGGCGGATTAGGACACCGGCCTGCAGAATGGAAGACCGCGACCGAGAGCCATGAGAATCAGAGCCAGGGCTTCCAGAGAACCCGGGATCGCTTCTTCCCTGCGAGGCCTTCTCAGTGTTTTTATTCTTATTTGCAAGGCTCAAAAATGATTCATCCCGGGTTGGAAGAGAACTTGGAGAGCCAAGACCCAGGCCCTCACTTTCCCCTGCAGCAGGTCCAGCAGGAGGCAGCAGGGGGCTCTGCTCCACTTCACCTCCGCCCAGGCGGGGAGAGCAGCGCCCCCACCCGGGGCGGGGGGCTGTAGAGAGGAATCAAAGGGCTCAGTGGCATACCTGCTAACGCCCGGAGCTCCCAGGCACATTTCTCTGGCCCGAAAAAGCTCGCACACTCGTTTCCACTGAGCGGAGAATGGCATCCTACCCGCGCCCCGAGAGAGAGTCAGAATCTTTACGGACAGAGCGAATAACGACCGTACTCACGTTCCTCATTAACAGCTTCAGTGTCCAAGTGTGCTGGGCCCTGGCAACAGAGCAACGCAGAAACCGGGGTCCCTGCCCCCTGAGACCCCCACTGCCTCGGATCCAGGCTATCTTTGCCCCGCTTTCTCTCATCCATTCAGTGAGCATCCACTCAGCACCTGCTGATGCCCCAGACCCTGCTTGAGATTCGGGGGTCTTCAGGCTGAAGAGGCTGGGGTCCTCCAGGAGCTCAGGTTGCAGGAGTCTAGCTGTCTGTCCTGGAGGACCAGATTCGAGGGATGGGTCTGTGACACACTGTGACACGGAACTAGATGACCGCAATGGGGGGTCATTGCGGTCATCCAGTGGGTAACAAAAGTAGGTAAAATTACCAACCTTCATTACCTAAAGGATAAATCACAAGGAGGGATACAAAGTAATAACAGCAACAATAAGACAAGTAATGCCAATAAATAAATAATAAGACAAGAGCAAAGTGGTTCACACACAGCTGTCAGCCTGCCCTTGCCAGCCCCTGTATTTTCACTTCAGACGCTGAGAGGCAATGTGCCAAGTTGTACAGAGAAGCCTTGCGGGCGATTCCCAAACCGTGATCTGGGGGGCCGTTACGGGTTCTGACAGGGGGCTTTCAAAGTCACACCGGGAGTGAACAGGCCCTCCCCTGCTCTCCAGTGGGTTTCTGATGCTTCATTTTCATAGCGGATTTCATCGAAAAGCTTCTACTGTTCAAAGGAGGGAGGATGAATGGTCCGCTCTGATGCTGTCTCACATTATACAGGTGACTATACACCGGTAAGAACGTTACTAACTTCCCAAGACCAAGACGTCGTGAGTGAGCAGCACGCCCGAGGCTGGCCGCCAGCCGCCTCTGCCTGTCTCTGAACTCCATACCCCTCTTCCCTTCTTGTTGTTCTTGCACTGACACCGAGCCTGCAGGGAAGCTCCACAAACTAAGAAGCACATGTCAGTGGGAAGAGGTAAGTAATGGTGGGGCGGGCAGGGTCGGGGGAGCGCCGTTGAGCAGCCCAGTCACTGAGGAACTTGGAGACCGCATGTCACCACGTGGCTGGAGCAGAGAGCAGGGCCTGCCCCCTCCCTTCTCCTGGTGGTCGCATCCCAGCCCAGCAGACACAAAGCCTCGCTGGATTCTGCTTCCTGCATGCGTCGGGATTCGAGAAAGAGCTCTTTCTGGGAATGAATCCTGAGGGGGAGAACCCCCGGAGCAGCGCCGTGTGCCGTGGGTAGGGGAAGGCAGGTGTCTCATTCCCACGGGAACACACATGTTTCCGAGGGAGCATCAAAGAGTTAATAAATACAAAGGCTTTTCGAAGCTGCAAGTCACATCGATGTCACCTCCAGCCCGAGCCAGGAAGAAAATGGCATTACATATGTAAGATTCAAAAAGGGCTCCCACCGACAAAGAAACCTTTGTCTGTCTTCCAAGTGTTAAAGTGCCACGGAACACTCCCTCACCAAACTCATCAGAAATGCAAATAAACGGATGTAGTCTTCCCCCGGCAACTGACATTTATCATCTCACGGTCCCAGATTGATACAAATTGTCCACACACACACACACACACACACACACAACAAGCATCCGACTTTGTTTACCAGGCATTTAAGGTTTTCTCTCCAGCCTCCCACAAGCTAAGAGAATCTCTGAATTTGCTCTTTTTGCAGACTCCCCTCCCTCTCCCTCTCCTGCTCCACCTTCCGCGGATAAACAAGAAGAAAGCCCATTAAAGGGGGCTGGACAGCTGTCCCTACGGGCAGGCTCCTCTCCGTGGCCCCCTTCCCTTCCCTCAGCAGGCCCCAAAATACTGCCGCCAGACTCTGCATGAGCTGGTGGCGCGGAGCGGAGCCCATTGTAAAAGACATGGGTATCCACAGCAGTCTGTCGGCTTCTCTGCCTGCAGGGCAGGCTCCGTGGATGCTGGCGGGTCACAAACATGGGAAGGAGGGAGGGGCCTCTACCCACCGTCTCCATCCGGGAGAGGGGTCATGGGCAGCAGCTTGTTTGCGGGAGGAAGGGAGGCTATCACTGACCACATCTGCCGACACCAGACTGCCCCCGGCAGCTGTCCGTGGCACACACAATCCCACTGCCCGGGGACACCGCCCATCCTCGAGCCAAATGGT